AAAAGTGATTAATTTATAGATGGGTTTTATAGGTTTCATAACTCGTCATTCTCGTCCAAAATGTGACAAATATTTCTTGTGACAATCGCTAACCCAAAATTACAAAGTTCTATCTGCTCAATACCTAGCTTTGGGAAATACGACGTCAATAATTTTTTGTTTCACAATAATATGTCGAGCTTTTTCAAATGCAGTTCTTTGAATATCTTGATAACGACTCCGAATATTCTTACGACTTTGATAGAGCAGATGAAGCATTGATTGCTTTTTGACCTTATGGTCTTAGTGTGACTCAAACCGACCAAAAATGCCAGATAGAACGTTGTAAATCTGAGTTAGCGAAATAGTATTCAGTATTCTGTATTGAATAAAATAGTTATTCGGCCGGAAGACCCTGAGATGGACGCTAGGAAGGAGAGATGGGCAGCTATAGACATGTGCTCCCTGCTATGATTCTAGCTCTGGATCCAAGTAATTCCGTGTAATTCCAAGTTATTCCGTGTAATTCCAAGTAATTCCGTGTAATTCCAAGTTATTCTGCCAGCTTTCCGGCCCACTTTGAAATAAAACCCAAAAAACCCCAAAAAGTTTAATGATCCCTGCTCCATAATATTAACTTTTTCTGCTCGTTGGGAATAACAGACACATAAAATAGACAAGTCTCAAATAATAGAAAGGGCTAGACACCCAACAGCAGGTATACACAACAGTTCTGAATATTCGCGTATCCGCAGGTAAAGGCTCTATTTTTTGTTCATCCAGGTATGTATACAGTTCCCAAAATAGATGAACACACCGTTAGCTGCCAGGTAAGCCAGAACAACAGGCTCTGAACGTCTGGGGCTGCATGGAACGTGGGGCAGCCTGATGGGGAAGGAATTCAGGCAGGAGGGGAAGAATTAAAAGGAGAAAACATTTGAGATGGGTGAGTCAAGCTGAGGGGGTGGTGGTTGCGGAGGAACTGGTGGAGGTTTGTGGGGGAGGGGGAGGGTTTGGTCGTGGTGTGTGAGAGCTTCATAAAATATACGCTACCTGCGAGTATGCGTGGGTGCTAAGAGGACCTCTCCAGTAGGACGGATTGATTTCTTCTTCTTCTTCTTCTTCTTCTTCTTCTTCTTCTTCTTCTTCTTCTTCTT